CTTCAAACCCTATCGAAGCCGTGGATTTTTAAGGGCGAAAAAACCCTTCGTACTTCTTCCGTTCATTGGAAAAGTAAAGCCGGCTGTCCCTTGTAGATTTAATGCATATAAAATATCCTCAAACTTATAAGAAACCTCTGGGCTAAATTCAAATCGCCAGTTTCGTCGCCCGAGTGATACCTTCTTTCTCTGCTAGAGGGCGAAAGGAAGGTAGAGGAATTTCTCTGGTTAGACGGAAGAGCATTCCTGATGGCCTGGAACTTACCTCGTAAAATAAGGCACCACTGAGTAGTTCAGGGGATCGTAATGATAAGCTCGTTTTTATTGAAATTTGATTTGCACATGTTTTCCTCCCTTTGGTAGCAAAATCGCACAGTAATGGCAGAAGTTTCCTCAGGGCGTAACCTACAGCAGACGACAACTTCTAGTACGACTGTGCGTTATTGCTGCCACAGAAGTGAGTAAAAAAGGAACAAATCGAATTTCGACGAAAAGTCGCTTACCATTATGTTCCCTTGAGCCATTCAATTAATTCCGGAAATGTTCTTTGTTTCTTCTCTTCAGATTTATAATTGATCCTGTTGAAATCCGATCTGTTCGTTTATTATTATTTTGTAAATGGCGACGAAATAAACGTTTTGAGTGTAGAAAATAGATGATAGCATTAAAACATTGTGGTGATGCTAAGGTTATATTCATTCATTCAGCTTATACCGATTCAGCGTGTCTCATTGAGATTAATCATGTAGTCAATATTTACTCTTAAGTAAGGTCCGACAGTGTTCCATAATGGGTAGTTCCAGAGCTACTGAGTGGATTGGGAAATAGCACAGAGAGTTACGGAAACGTCATACTTTGATCAATTTCTTCGTATCTAGATCTGTTCCGCGGATCCGTATGCGTTGGGTCGTGTAGGACCCACGTCATTCAGTGTAGCGCGCGACGAAGCTGAGAGCTGTTCTCGCGCGTTGCAGGCGATGTGTACTACAAGCTCAACGACGCCGGGGTGGAGCCCGGCTACCCCAAGCGCATCGCGGACTCGTGGGTGGGCCTGCCCGGCCACATCGACGCCGCCTTCACCTACCGCAACGGCAAGACCTACTTCTTCAAGGGCAAACAGTACTGGCGCTTCGTGGGCAAGCGGATGGACGGAGACTACCCCAAAGCTATCTCGGAAGGCTTCACCGGCATCCCTGACAACTTGGACGCTGCTATGGTTTGGTCTGGCAATGGAAAGATTTACTTCTTCAAGGGTATGTGATGGCGATTTTCTGCACTTGTAAAATGATGTTCTTTAAATTAGATTGTATTCCTTACATCTATCATCTTCAGTTTTGTGCTTTCAATTTGCTCTCATCAACTTCTTTGCGTTAGAGTTAATCTTGTGCGTATTAAACTTCGACGTTGAGTGAATATCAACCAACAACTTCAACATAATTCTGTTGAAACAATTACTTGTCTCAGTTTTTGTTAAAATTTTATGATTGATGAATTTTATCATCGAAAAACCTGTGTTATGTTAACATATGCCAAATTCTTCAAACTATAATAACTTTGAATTGTTGCTTTAGTTCATAAACGGCTTACGAGCCGTCCAGCTGTCGATATGGGCGATAGCTTTCTGCAGAAGCGAGCCTTTGCGGCTACACAACTTTCAACGATTCTCGAGAACTATACACTTCTCGACTACCTTGTATTTCTTTAAGCGTTGGTCAATCCCTGTCATGTTTTACAAACGACAAGCAACCTTGACTCTATTACTCTATCGAAAGGTACCTAGCATATGGTAGACTCAGAATTGAGCGCGAATAGCCAACAGGTCAATGTGATTGCAGCTGATGTGGATCAAGGTTGCACTCTGCCAAGACTTCGCAATGTCTTACCAAAACCTAATTTGGATAAACTATTTGTTACAAAAGTGATTTTGGACATAAAATACAATTGATTCAGTCTCAATAAAAATAATCCAGATAATACGCTTTGAATTTCCAAGATATTTATGAGGACGTGAGTTTTTGTTGTAATTGGTGAAATGGTCCAGAGTAATGGGCTATTTAAATCAAATACAATGATTATTTATTAAAACTTTTCAAAATGTTTCTTAAACTTCCATTTGTTTCCATTTTCTTACTTTCATTTTTATGTTTTGTCATTCAGTGTCT